AAGGGGAGGGAAATAAAAAAGCCTGGGAAGCATCTGACTGTCCCCCAGCTGGGCTAACGCTCTTCTTCACTTGTGCAGAGGCTGGGAGGTGTTTTTCAGGGTGCCCGACACCCCAGGGTGGGATGGGTCCTGGGAGCGTCGCTGAGCCCCTTCCCCTTGCTTCCTCTCCCTGGAGCCTGTGTATGGCTCTATTTTCGGCAGCCTCAAGCCCTTTAGACGGCACATAGGGCAAATCATCATTTTAGACGGTGTCACCACCGTCCTAAAGGACGTGGCCATCCCAGGCCTCCGGAGCTGGGATGGGACCATCCCTGGCGAGCGCCTGGTCCAGCCCTGGCAGCATCCCGGCGGGCAGGACGCCGGCGGTGGGTGCTTGGGGCCATGTCGGCCGGCGCCTCGCCAGGCGCGGGGCTGCGGCCGAGCTATTGTTTTCCCTTCCTGCTTGTTTTTCCGGACAACCCTCCCCTAATTAAATAAAAACACCCGTCGGAGAAGGGAACAAACCGCCCCCCCCAGCACGGTCCCGTGCTGTGGGAGGGCAAAACTCTGACGGGAGAGGTCCCCGGGGAGGGGGGCGATGGGCGAGCAGAGCGGTGAAGGTAGGCGATAGGCGAGGGGAGGGTGCGTTGGGATGTGTTTTACCCCACTGCCAGGTTTCCATGCGTGGCCGTGGTCCAAAAATGGGTGGCTTTGGCTACGTATGGGACGTGTACGGTCCAGGCAGCGCTGCTGGTTCTGGGGCGGCTTCATCCCGGTGTCGGGAGTCGTGGGAAGACGCGAGCATCACATCATCCTTAAAAAAAACCCTATATGGCCTCAAAACTACAGAGAAAAGGCTGAAGGTCTTATCCAAGGGTCTTGAAAGCAGAAGGCAAATTATAGGGGATTGAGGATTAAAACCCACAGCGCGGATGTTTTTGGAATTTCTAACGATGCGCCTTTGTATCATTTGAATTAATCTGTAAAAATAGGTTTTTAATGCTGTTTCTTTCTTTAGCAGAAGTTGTGGCATTAAATAGCTTCAACCACGTTCTTTCTCCCTGAAATGCAGCGGTGTTCAACTTGAGAATAGGACGTGGGTTTTTCTTCCTAGAGGAGCAAGTGCAAACATCGTATTCAGCTACTTATTAAAGCACTTTTCCTTAATGCAATTTAATACTGCAGGTCAACGGTAAATGTTTCAGTGGTTGCGAATGATACTGAAAAGCAGATTGCTGTTTTTCGCGGGAGTTTTGGCATTGAAAAATCTTAAGGAAATCCCCAAATTTTGTGCTGACTGGAAACTGGTTGGCGGGCAGCTGCTCTAACCGCTCCGCCCGGCGTGAAGCGGGGACTTAAATGTGCTTTTTATGTCGTGAAACCCCGTCTTTGTGCTGCTACAGGAGAGAGGTATTTGTGGTCCTTGATGCTGCGGTGATGAGGGCGATAGATGTGGCTATAAATAAAAAGAGGCCGGTGAATGTCAGAGATGGTCTTCTGGGGGGGGGGCTGCAGATTTGAGTATTTAAATATATCCAGGGTGACCCGACCTGCTGGTCCCTCGGGGGCTTTTATTGCTGCAGGAGCATTTAGGGATCCGGCTCTTAATACCTGCTAAGATAAATAGCATTTTGTCTTAGCACAGTGATTTAAATCCAGCAGCAGGAGGTGATCGGGTGATGGCGTGGCTGTTTAGGGAAACTGAGGCACAGGGGGGGTATGCGGGTGGAAGGGGAGTGGGGCCGCTCTCGGGCTCCATCTCCTATAGCGGGATTTTTGGTGGCTTCTCCGGGAGAGGCTGCCCCGGTCCAGCGAGCATCAGCATCTGCTTCGGCCGCCCTTTCTATATCGCTCTCATCTCTTCCTCACATCCCCTGCCGCCGGAGCTCAGCTGACCCCCATCCCTCGGTCCTCCCTCACCCCGAGCATCCTCCCCGTCCTCCGGCCGCCCTCCCGTCGGCTGTTTCGGGATGGAGCTTTGGCGGCGCTGCTTGAAAATGCTCTTAAAATAGAGCCGGAGGGCAGCGTCACGGCGCGGAGGGATGTCTGAATGTCTGGAGGCGCTGCCGTCCCCCCGGGGTGGGGACTTCGCTGCCACGCTGCTTTCGAATAATTTTTACGGGTTTTTTCTCGGTGCCGACGACACCAGGGCCGTGCCCGGAGGTCGGCGGTGCATGGAGGGGGCTGGCAGTTTTGGGGTTCGCTCCGGTTTGATGCACCCAGCAAGCACCTCAAGTCCAGGCTCGGGATGGGGATGGGATGGGTGGACTGCTCCCGCGGTGCCGTGTTGGGCTGCTCGTGGGACTAAACCGACCCAGAGGGCCAAGGTGGTGATGGTGGAAAAGAGCAAAACTGATTTTTATTTAAAATAATAAAAAAAGTATTTTTAAAAATACGTATTTTTTAAAAAAAATACAGTATTTGTGTTTTTCTAGGGGAAGGGGTAATGGGTTTTACTCTCCCGTTAACCCCGATTAATCTGGCTTCTCCGCTCCGATGGGGTTGCAGGGACGGGAGCTGCCGGAGGGGTATTTTGAGGCAAGTTGGGGTCTTTCTTGGGATCTCACCCCGGCGGGCGCCTCTCATCTTGGCTGGGGCTCCGGCTCCGGGCGAGCTCACGAAAAGCATCTGATAGCAATAAAGAGCAAAAACCTCCCGCTGACAAGCCCGGGCTGAAGTCACCGACGGGATGCGGCCAAGACACGCATTGTCCTCGCCGCTGCTGGGACTGATTAGAGCCGCCTGGCAAGCCCCGGCGCTGGGTGAGGGGTCAGCCCCTTTTGCCAAAAAACCTCGATCCGGAGCAAAAAAAAAACAAAACCCAAAACCCAGCTTTTGTTTTCCAGGCTGGGCTGTGCGGAGGCGATGCCGCCCGGCAGACCCAATTCCCCCTGTTTTGCACCCATTTCTCCACGGCTGTGGCCGTGCCGAGCTTGGGGCATCCTGCATGGGGAGCGAGGTGAGATGGATCCCAGGAGGAAAAACCTGAATTCAAATTTTTTTCATAGCGCAAGCGAAGCAGGAGAGTCCCTGGCAAACAGCAAACCGCTCTGCTGAAAGCTCGCTGTCTCTTCGGCGTTCGATATTTATTATATCATTATTTATTTGGTGGGCGCTTGGGGGGGGCTGAGCCATCCAAGTTCCTCTCGTCGAAATGTCCTTGGCAGTCACGAGGCTTAGAAAATGGGGGGGTGGATGGATGTTCCAGCTGGGATGCAGCATTTTATAACAAATATATGTATAAAGAGTATTTATATATTTATATATATAAAGAGTTTAAATATATATAAAAATATATATAAAAATACA